GATCATAGTGTGTCAGAAGTAAACCTGACTTGAGAATGTCCTTGATGCGCTGGAAGGCCCATTGGAATTTGTTCGACCACTGCCACTTTCTGTCTTTCTGGCGTAATTCGTCTAGTGGTTGGCAAATTTGATGCATGTTGTTGATGAAAGTTTGATAGTAGTTTACCATACCGCAAAATGAGCGAAGTGTGGATAGGTCTGTCGGCGGTGGCATATTGATGATAGTGTCGACCTTAGAAGGGTTCGGGTGGCATCTGTCCTTATCAATGATGTAGCCTAAGTATTTAATGAAATCCTTGAAGAATACGCACTTCTCTGGTCAGATTCGGAACCCATAGTTGTGGATATGATGGAACACCTCATGGAGATGTCAGTGATGATTCTCCACGTTGCCACTAACGATAACTATATCGTCTAGATATGCAAAGGCAAATGATAATCCCGAGATCATGGAATCCATGATCGATTGGAAGATGCCTGGAGCCGATTTCACTCCGAATGGAAGACGTTGTAATTCATAGAATCCATGGTGTGTTGCGATATTGCAGAATTTCTTGGAAGTTTCCTCGAGTTCCACTTGCAAATAGGTGTCAGAAAAGTCTATTTGTGAGAATATTCGACCACTGTTGAGTGTGGAAAAGATGTCTTCCGGAAGTGGTAATGGGTGCTGATTGAGCTGGAGTGTGTCGGTGAGACCTGTTGAGTAGTTTACACACAGATGTGACGATCTGTTAGGCTTCGTAATTACTATGATAGGAGCAGCCCATTCGACATAGTCGACGGGTTTGATGACTCCTAAGTTCAGCAGGCAATTGAGTTCCTCTTCCACTTTCGGTTGTGAGGTGTAGGGAACTGATCTGGCCTTGCGTTTTGACAGGTGTGACGTCTGGCTTCAACATTAACAAAGCTTTTGTTACCTTGCAGAGTCCCAGTCCTTCCTCAAAAACTTCTGGAAAGTTGCGCTGCAGCAATTCAATGACTCGAAGCTTATCATTTGGCTTCTGACAGATGTTGACATCATAAACCTTAGCAGCGAAGAATTGAAAGTGGTGCATAGTGTCAATTCCAATGAGGTTGAGAGCTCCTTTCTTGGCTATATAAAACGGTTCTTCTTTGCAGACGTCGTTTTGACAGAAGGTGGTGCGTCCCTTCCCTAAAAACAGTAGCAAAAGAGTACTTTCGTCATAAGATCTGGCTTGTTCCATACAAGGCTGGAGTGTGGGTCAACCGATGGCATCTTATGTCGTTTTGTCGATAATGTTAATTTCAGATCCATTGTCGAGATAGAAGTCGACTGGGTGTCCATTAACCTCAATCTTCGTTTTTAGCAGTCAGCAGGTGTTTACAAAATTTTGGATAATTCCTACCCTGGTGGAGTACACTTGATTTTTCTTCTGTGTACGTTGACATAATTTTTCTAAATGTCCTACGCGATTGCACTTTTGGCATTTGTGCCTTACATGTGGACAGTCTTTGTACCAATGCCACTCACCAATCACTTGCATGTACTCGGTGGATGATTTACCTTCTTAGTCTTTTCTTCTTTAGCGGGGTCTTGGCACGGAAATTATTAACCAGACATTCTGTTTCTTCGTATAACTTCTTTTCAGAACGCATCACTATAAATTCTTCACAGTCGTTCATCACGTCATCGAATGTAACGTTTTCTCCTTCCAAGTTAAGCTTCTGGAGAATTTGAGCGTGTAATGACTCATGGGCTTTCGACTTAAGTCCAGTGAGAATGACAAGACAAAAGAACTGTTCTGTCTGAGCACGAAAGTTATATCATCGTCTGGCCGCTCTCACTCGGTTCGTGAAATGGCAGAAGTCTTCACCATCGTCAATTGCAATACATAGACAGTCATAGTGGTCTGCGTAGATTGAACATTTCTTGTAAAAAGTCGGCGAAGTCATAAAGTGGTTTCCTCGAAGTCGAAGTCTGTAATATACTTTGGCATACATTACTTATTGTACTTGCTGAAGGTGGATGCAGAAAGTTTAGTCATAAGAAACTAGACTTTTTCCTGGTCGGCAATCTTGGGTGCCGCACAGTCCAAAGCAAACTCAAAATGACTTACCCACTCATCAAATTTTGAGCCGTCTTCTTCATCAGGTTGGAATTCCAGTAACTGACGGAGTGTTCCTGAGGACAACGTTAACGATGAAGGTGATGAGGAAGATGTGTGTGTAGACGAACAAATGTCTTTGATAAGTTCATATAAAGCCTCCTCTCGGTGTTGTGTGGCCTCCTGTTGTTCTGCAAGTAATGATTTTACAAGTGATTTCTCTGATTCTGGGTCCATCGCCGTATTCTTAATCCTTTATCCTCGTAGCCACTGTTAGGTTCTTAGAGGGTGTAAAGATCTCTAATCATAGATTGCTGTTTAATATATAACAAAGAAATGGTATAATGGTCGGACTGGACACTGCTCATGTCCTGCTCATCTAACTGACCCGAACAAAAGACATTCCCGAATCGTGCACCCACATGTAGGTGTAACCTGATCAGTTCCAGATTGAACCTCGGTCTTTAGGTTTTCACACATGGAAAACACCTGACCCAACAATTATGCATAAATTTTAAAGTATAAAACAATTTTAAAACTCATTTAAATGAAGAACAATGTGCTTAGAATCATGTGCTTTTTATCTAAAAAATGTATAATGAGAATGTTCATAAGAAGAGAAAGGTGACAAGTTGAGTTGATTTGGGTAACTAAATGTTATGGCTAGTGCAAGTGACCAGACAGTTTAAATTTTGACCTTCCACAAAGCATACTAGTGCCAATCATCCATTGTATGGATTGTTTGTTTGTTTGTTTTGTTAAGTTATGGCAATGCAACACTTGGGCAATCTGTCTACAGAGGATGCCTTCTAGGAGGTCTTTTTAAGGGTAACTGGCCCCTATTCAGGCATTACAGACATGGAGAAAACCCAGAAAATTCCATGTGGCCAGCTTGTCTGAAACAGCTGTTTCAGTCCGATTTTAATGATGTTTTACTGAAGTTTCTCTTCATTCCAAAAAGCTTTTAAATCAATAGACAGAGAAAACACACTCACCAATCTGAAATATTATGGAATACCTGCTAAATTAATACAACTAATAAAAGCCCCATGTTGTGAATTTACAGCTAGAATTCTTCTCAATGGTTTTTCATTATATATTCTACTCCACTGCCCCAGTATTGTTTCCCTATCAATACCAGATTCTATAAGAAGGCACACTTGATCCCTACCTGTTTATTATCACTGTAGATTACATATTAAGAATTATTGGGAAAGAACATTAATTCAGTCTATATAATGCTAATGAAAAATCACAAATTGGAAATTTAAGCTTCACAGATGACATTGTATAGATTGTCTCCTCCATGACAAGTGCCAAAGGAAACTGGCAAACTTTGTTATGCAGTACTGACCTTTGAGCTATTAGTCAACACAGATAAAACAAAATTCATAAGATCTCTTCTTACTGGTAATATCACCCACAAATCAAACTGCACATCTATCAGAAACACAAAACTTACAATACCTTAGTTGGTTTATTGCAAATATCCAAGAGAACATCTCTTTCATCAAACAAAAAGCTTTGCAATTTCACAGAAGCCTAATTAAAATCTAGAAATCTCCACTCATCTCCAGAAAATCCAAAATCAGACATTTTAAAAGCACCAACCAAGCCATATTCTTATATGGAACAGAAGCCTGGAACTTAGCTAATTCTAAATTCATTAATCAGATCAATAGCTCACTCAGATCATTACTTGACTATATTTAGAGATATTACAAGACAAACTAAGGCATACTTCAAGAAAACAATTGGTCACCACTAATCCACACCATCCAAGAAAGACAATTCAAATAGCTAGGACATCTCCAGACATGTATTTTACAAGCATATCTCTTTACAAACTAATAAATAGATACATAAAGGAAGGAAAACACAGGTCTTGCTGAAATTTGGCTGTATATTAGCATCACACTAACCAGAAATAAGAGACTAAAGCCACCAAGATTATAAAACTTGTCCATAACAGAAAGTTTGAGATCTCAGGAGACCCTTCTTCACAAACTGTTGGCGATCTCTATAGTTTGAAAGAAGCATTATGAATAAACACTACAAAATTTAATCTGGATTTTGAAAAGATGACTAAAGAATATAAAGAATTTTAATTTAAAAATCATTATTAACTATAGAAATTATTGATAAACTTGACATACAGAAAAAAAAATCCTATATCATGTAATATAACCAAATAGGAAATTTTATCTGTAAAGTAGTTTTTGTTGAAATTTATTTATTTAGTATAATTAAAAATAGCATAGTTTAAATCCTAATAGTTGAAGATATGTTTGATGATAGACTATGTAGTGTTTTCGTGTCTACTGAACAAAAACATTTGCTGAACATATGGCATTTGATCCAAAGGCACCATCTCTTCACATTGGAGCTGTCAGGTTATCAAATCTCCTTTTGATTAGTTTAATATCAGAATTTATCAATATTAAAAAATGGAAGTAATGAGTGAGACAGAAAATCTTTCAAATTATTTTTTTTATGATTTTGAATTAAAAAAACTAATTTAAAATTTGAGATATTTATTTCAAGGCATATATATCCTTTAATCACATTACTATAAATACAATGTTTTATATTATATTGTATTAGCTAATTGTTATATATTTAACATTTTATGGTATTATGTGTTATAAAATGATAAATTCTGTTTAAAAGAGAAATTATTTTAACTAATGCAGTCGGAAAGACGGAATAAATTATTTCTGCATCCATCTACTGCGCAAATAATAAAACGAAAGTAAATATTATTACTTTCCATTTATAAGATACTAAATGTTACCGATTGTTTTTGGATGAGTATCAGAATATTTTATATATTTTTACATCAGTTTTTAAGATATGAATTTATGAATTCCCGTCATTATATAACATTTAAACACATTTTATAATTTAGCACATAAGAAAAGTTAAATCAATTACCTTCCGGGAACCGTAACGAATACAGGTGATCACAATAGCCAAACATTTGAAATAATAATAAATAAATAAACAATCACGACCATAACTAGTACTTCACCCACGCCTCCATTTTCAGTTTTGTTGTCTAAGTTTTTTCTCTGTTAAACGCTAGAGGCAGTATTAAAAGATGAGAACTTATCTTACTCGTATAAAATTTAGATTTTATACTTTGAATGGTTACTTTTTATTATATGTTATTTAATAATTATTATTAATTCACATAAATAATTTTTTTTAATATTATGTTTACGAAGTTGTCGCATTAATATCAAGAGATCCGAAATTTAAACATTAGTTTTGATATCAATAAAAATTATCACTGAAAATAACGTTTTATAATATAAAATAACAAATAAATTATAAAAATTGTTTCTGGAAAATAGAAGAAAATTAAAAAGAACTGTTAAAATAGACGAGCGACTGGCCGAGCTGTTAGTATGGCAATCTGCTGCTCTGGGAACCCGGATCGAATCCGAACGGGTCATAAAATCCCAGGAATTTTTCGGAGGTTATCCGTCCGGACATCTCCCACTGCACGACAGTCCACAATGAGGTTAATTAAAAAGGTCGTCTTAGTGCTCGAAGGAGATATAACTCTTGTGGCCAAAAAAGGAAGTGTGACTCATTCACTCATTCCATTCTGCCATACAGGGTCGGTCTCCTGACCCTCCTCTATCCTTATAAACGACTATGGAACGACGAAGTCATTGATTTTAGGGCCTGTCTCTAAATTAAGTCCGAATTTCTCTTGAAATTTTTATTTCCCCTCCTCGATTGTCCCAGTTTGTCCAAGTTTCCGTAATTCCCTCCCCCTCTTCTAACGTGTAACAAAACTCAAACTCCTCAAAATCTTAACCACTTTAATGTATAACTAAATAATAAAATGCATAAACTATATAAAATTTACTGAAATAAAACGGACGTCCATTGAAGTTCAACCCTTCCCTTCCCCTTGTCTGATTTTGTCCGATTTGTCATAAGTTACAATCGCAACTTTAATTAAAACATTTTACTGACAACATTAATTTTACTAAAACATCGTGCCAAATAATAATGGAACAAATAAATTTAAATGAATATGTTGGCCTGAAATCTAGTGTCCATATCTTTATTTGAATCATTTGCAATGTCTTGTAAAGCGGAATATATTTCTTTCTCAATTCTCTAATTTTTTTTTTATGACCAGAAGTTGCCATGACGTTTATTGTTATACTTAAAAGTTAGTTTTGCGCCTTTCTGTTAACTGGCACATCTACTTACGCCGGCCATTTTTCGTTTTCAAAAATATACAGTGTTTTGTGTCTTAGTGTCCTGAATACTGCAGAGTTTAAACATACGTTTTTTGTATATTTTTCGAGTTTTTCCAGATTTCTGACATTTTAACTCGTTCTGCGAAGAAGCGTAAAGGAGTGAGAATGCTTCATCGTTATTTTACAACTGCTGAGGTGTCGTTAGTCACCATTTCAAGACAGCGGAAAATGACTCACGGTCAATGTCGAGAGTAAACATTTACTCCAAATCTATCGATTGATGATATTATAGTTTCAAATTTATTAGATATTATTGATTACCAAAGACGTTATTTTTAATTTAATTGACAAGCATCAATTACATATAGAACTTGCATGAACGTCATCTCACTTGATCCAACGTCATCGCTCCGTCTCCTACGCCATATTTGTTCCGTGCTGTTCGTAGAGGTGTATATATCAATAGTTTGGCTTGCGTCTGAACGTTTAGAAGATGGCAAAACATGTATTTGACTTTCCCGGCTCTGTTATATATAACAGAAGGAAACCATGAGAGCATTTTTACATTTCTGGACTCAAGGAACCTTGAAATGTTGAGAAATGCAAAAAAAAAAAAAATTTCGAGGGTTTTCTGTATGTATGTGGAGTGGGCACGATTTTGTTTACCAATTTCAAGCTTAATACTTTCCTTGATTTTTGTCGAAAATTTCTGAAATTTTGCAGTGTGGTTTGTATATTAGGGGGATCAATGCTATTAAATTTTGGTAGTTAAAGATCGAAGAGATCGTGGATCATATCTCGAGTAAGGTCGGACTTAAACTCGTTATTAACATTTACATTTTTTTATAAAATTCATCTCTACCCTCAGAATTAAGTCTTTTGCCATTTTATAATAGCTTAAAATATCAAAAGTTTTTCATAACAAAATTTCATAAATTCTAAATTCTAATTGAAGTATTCTAAATATATTTGGTAGACATGGACTATAGAATATATTCTTTACTTAAAGCTTTTATGATTCTTTATATTATGAACTGTATTAAAAAAATATATAATAATAATAAAACTTCTTAAGTTTAAAATTTCGTATCACCGTTCAACTTCCATTCTTACGCCACTCAACATTATACTAAAACTTTGAGGAGTAAACTAACAAATTTCTTTGTCTGCTTTGTGTTTCGTATATTTAATACAAATATACTTTATTATACATAGTTAGAATATTATTACAATGAAAGGGTTATCATATACATTATATAAAACTATTAATGCCTTTTATATACCTAAAATGCATTTCGGTTCCATGCGTTAATGACCCTCTTCAGTTAGGTGAACATTTATTAAATATAAGGCAAAAATTATTCTAAAGAATTTCCGTTCATTATAAAAGTAATGAAGATTTTAAAATATATTGATAGATAAATAATTTTAAGGCTTTTAAGTAATTTTTTATGTATAAAGTAAAAATTAATTGTGCAGTTTTAGGTCGTATTAAACATAACTTTTGGTCATTTATTAGGAAGCGTGACCTTGTGCAATTTTGAAAAAGAGCTCAATAGTTTCTTTTTCCGAATTGAATTACATTCGAAAAGGTCTTACACTTCTTACAGACATAATTAAACAAAGATATATCGATACCAAATACTGATCTTGCAGAGAACAATGCTTTTTATTTATTTATTTAGTTTTTACTATCTCAATATTATTTCATAAACATTAAAAAACAAAAGAAGAAACGTGATACCTGCTATAAATCCTTAATATCAGTTTTAAAAGTAAATATGGCATTATTAATTAACAGAAACAAAATATATATATATGATATATGATTTAGTTTCTGTCAATGAGAACATATATACATATATTAATTAGACTGAGAATTAATTAATGAAAATCAAAAATCAGCATTTCTGTATTCTACATGTGACATTTACATTGTATCACCGCAACTGCAGAAATTATTTTAGATTTTATGCCTATTTATTATAAATTATAGTTTATTTTTTATATTAAATTTTTGAATGAAAATGTAAAGAAACAAAATAGACATGGCAAAAGTATAGATATGAGAGATGCCGTAAAATAGGACAATGAACTCATTTGATTGTATGAGGCAACGCAACACGAGGGTGATCTGCCAAGGGGTTTGCCTACCGGAAAGACTTTCTACGAGAAACTGGCTCCTATTTAAGAATGAGACACTTGAAGAAAATCCGGAAAACTCTATGCTACCAGCCTGTTAGTCAGGCACAAACTCGGTACCAATTATCAGTGTTTTCAACAAGTCTGAAATATATAACACTTACGTTGGAGAAGCGATTAGATGAGTTTGTAATATTGTTTTTACCATTTCCTTTTTTTTTCTACATAATTAAAAATGCATCCTTCTAAAAGACAAGACTTTCTGGCCAGTATCACGTTCCGTTTTAGATTTCATTGCTTAAGAATTACATTAGAAAAATTTAAATGTAGTAAATATTGTATATGACATCTCGTATTATAGAAAAATTTAAAGTATCATTAATGAAGAAATAACATCGGTAACCACCGAATTTTGTGGTGTGTAATTACTCTACACAAAAATCAATATAACTGAAATATAACACATTATGTTAATATTTAATATTGTACTTTATTGACACAATAAAACTAATAAGGTTTCATTTCTAGTTTTTATAGTTAATTTTATTTGCTTTTACATATATTAATTTGTCGAACCATAAATAAATATCATCCGTATTTAGTGGTTATTTACAATAATACAGATATATTACAGTATTTATTAATTTTTATTTCGATTTCTTTTGTGTTACGCGAGACAAATTAAAACAATGAATATCACTAATAGAAGAAAACTGAGATTTATAATAAATACAAAGATACTTAAAACTAATTTGGCGACTAAATAAAATTACCGAAGTTAATTAATAATTGGTGCGTGGAAATGACGATAAATGAAAATGAAAGACCTCATACGGATTTCATTAAAGAGAAACACAAATTCAGAAATCTATTTTTATATTCTTTTCTTACTGGGTCAGGCAAAATCGACTATCTCCCATTCTCCGTAGAGGGAAATTGTTCATTTCTAGGTAGTGATTGACCCACTAAGCAGAAACGATTTATGTCCTAGTTCTTCAAATTAACGTTCTTCCTATCTTTTGCCTTCACAAAAACTTTCTAAGTCGGTGTTTTAGTAATACGGCATCGACGTTTTCAGATGTTGAATTTATTTTTAAATAACGCAGATAGTTAAATTTTGTTTTAAAATAAATATTTAAAATATAAAAATGTCAGGGTTATCTGCCAGTTAACATTATTTCTGAAATTGTGTTTCGCGATGACGTCAATTAATGTTTGGTTGCATAAATTTTCTCCATTATTAGATAAAGAGGGGGAAATGAAAAATATAAATGATGTCAATAATATATAAGATAAATAAAAAAGCACAAGATGTTTATTTAGTAGAACAATTTATTTGTACGTCACTAATATATACAAAGACGCCCCAATGTGACGTCAGAATGGCGTTCTGCAGGATTTGTGCGGAAGAAGCGCCTATTAAATTCTGACGATTCAAATAAACTAATTGGAATCAGTCTACTTAACACAGATTAAAATACAACTGACTTTCCATTTGTCATTTTTATACTGACGAGGCGGCACACACCAACTTATGCACCTTTCACTTTCAAGTAAAAAATGACAGAACTTACACAAACAGAAGTAGGTGTGGGCCATCCAACATATCACCCATTTTTTTTAAGTACCAAAAACAAGCATTTTGAATATTGTATTGGTAATTGTTGAATATACACTATCGACACACGATGTATAGTGTCCATCACGACAATAATTATAATAATAATAATATAATAATAATAATAATAATATTAATATAGTAATATACTTCCACAGGAGTAAGTATTAGGCACGCAGATTCGTACGTTATCCGGCACCCAATTATATAAACGGAGATTTAACTCCTTTTGAGGATAAACTCCCTATAGGAAGCAAATGAATTCATCCTGCCATCACTGTGACGTCACACGATAATCGCGGATCCGTTCATATTCATCCGTTCGCACAACACCAAAGCCTTCGATCCTGTATCTTAAAATCTATTACAATTTTTTTTTTAAGAATTTCGATTCATTTGTCTTTTTTTTTTAAATCTTTGGACGGCAGATTAGAAATTAAGCACAACCGTTCATGTGACAGACATTTTTCTTACTTTATTTTTAAGGCCCCTTTCGTTTGATGCTGTGCAAATACGAAATTAAAAATGAAACAGAAACATTTCGATGCAGGAAAATTCATTATCTTAAATATTGTTACTTTTTTTTTAACGCGACAGAAAAAATAAATATTATTATATATAACTCGGTTGTGTGCGATTTATATTTTTAACTCCTTCCACTTGACTTGGTTAGTTTTAACTAAACACTGATACGTGTAAAACGTAGAGCCGTATGGGCCGAAATGACCCGCTCACAGGCATCTGGCACGTGGACTGTTAAGAGGTAACGAGGAACCATAGCGGACACTCGTTTAACCGGCTACTATAAACTATCGAATGAGCAATCGTGATTATTTAAAAAAAAAGGAGCCGCGAAAAAATCAAAGACGTCACAAAAAATTCTGGTGGTTTAAAACCTAAAACAAAGGTAGAAATTGTGACCACGTTCGGAATTACATAAGCTGGATAAGTTAAAATTTTCTTTAAAATGGAGCCAAGTTGATATTCGCCAAAGTAAATTGGCATCACATGGAAAAAACACGATTTATGATAAGTGATATATATATATATATATATATACTGTATATAACAAGGCCGATGAGATACTTTTCAGCAGGCTGACTTGAAGGTAAGGTAAGACGTTTTTAGGAATAGGTGAAAATTTCCTTTTTTTTTTTTTAACTCACTCTCGCTCCCTCATATATATAATAAATAAAACGATTTTGTCGTTATAATCTTGTTCGTTCATAAACATGAAACGGTTGTCAGATAAAAACTTTCTGATATATATATGTATATATATATATATTTTTATGAAGCATTGTAAAGTTATAGTTCCTTGAAAATGACATATGCCATCTATATCACAATCATTTGGAGTTTTATCATTGCTGAATTTCAAGTTATATCTTTGCAATGTTTTAAGATATCTTCCTCTTTCTATTGTTTAATGCATATTATGGGATATCATGGATTTTAAATATTTCATTATTCTCCTTAATAGCATAAATCTTTGAGGGATAATAGAGTAGTGGCTAGTATTGCAAGAAAAAAGAATTGCAAAAAAGAAAAAAGAAAAGAAAAAAGAAAGAATATCTTAAAATTATCTTGCATTAGTTAGAGATTTGTCATTTGCTTCATAATTAAGCATTCTTTTTTGAATATCTATAAAAATTGATTCTACATTCAAAATATCTGCCATCATCTTTGCAGAATTAATAACACATTCAATAACTGTTTGTGTATTAAATGTGGAGTTTTGCATCATTTTATTGACAACTTTAATTTTACTTAAAATATATTATGCCATATAAATTTTATTATAAATATAATGAAAATTTCACCCTTTTGATTGTCCACTGCTTGTACAGTGGACAACCTGTGCACCTACATGCAACAGCCCTACTTAACGAACAAATCGGATAACGAACACTTTCACGAAAGATTTTTATGATCGGACAACGAACATATGTTCAGATAACGAACACTTCACTGAACAAACACAAGAAGCGACATAAAATAACGAATACCGATTGGTCTTCCTTTGTCTTCAGGCAACAATTCGAAACTTTTCGGAGCGCGGGAGACGTCGACATCGACGTTCTACCCAGTATATACTAATCGGATAGTATTCCCCCGAACTTTGAAACTCTCCCTTGTAATTCCAGCCTTTTGTATTTCTGACAGAAACAATTCTTTTACGTTTTCTTCTGAAAATGCGGATTTATGCCGATATCTGCTATTAAAGATCTTTTGAAGAAGTAGGAAGATGTCAGAACAACGGTCTTAAAATGGCATCCAAAC